GGAGACAATTCTGTCCCAAACATCGACATTACTCTTTCGTGAGTGCCACTCACCACTGGGCTCTCCCTTCAAGCTCTTAGTATAAAGAATTCTTCTGTGAATGCCTTCAAACAGCCACCGTCATTTCTGTAAGTGTTGAGAGCCCGGAAGGAAATGCCGCAAGTAGGCAGATAAGATATCCAACGTAAAATAAATCCTTGACAAACGAAAGACGTCGCTGACACGAGTCCTGGTAACATTTGTCAGCCGTGGCCGAGATAAAAATAACGATTCAGGTCCAATATTTTACGACCCTAATAAAACCATGAGACGTATAATCCTACGTTTTATGACAATATAACCCGTTAACAAGGGATAGAAATTTCGAGAGACATCGGCTCCTTTCTATCAGACTACACGGCGCTACAACCGAGAAGATTTCTTTTTCCTTTGTGTCACTACCTGCACATTAAAAGTTCAAAATAGGAAAAGGTCAGACCGGACGTTGCCAAATTTCCCAGCAAAATTCAAGTAGAAACACGAAAAACGTCCGTAAATTTCCACCAGATTACACGGCGCTTCAACCCCGAAGACAGCGACCTTCACAATAACCTCAAAGACGACCTCAAATCACTTAACAGCTTCTATACGAGGCATTCTTTACATGTTTTTGTTGTTATTATTTTTATCGATTCTCATGAAATAAAGTCAGAACAGCCAAGGCGGGTTTTAGTAAACACACGAATCTCCCGCAAAGCAGGAACACGCCATTAATGGATTAGAACAGGAATAAAGAAAGGCCAAAAACTTGAGCAGAAGTGGCATAAGAACAGAAGGGAACGCGCTTGGTCTGGATAATGCAATCAATAGACCGCAGTGATACCAAAGAAACACCTCCCCCATTTGACAAGTAGCCTGCTTCGGAATGATTTCTGTTCCCCCCAGGGAAAACCAAGATTTACGGTTTTCTACGAAGAGATTGAAAACAAAATTCCTAATACTGCACCATATACCTATCTTGCATTGGACCAATCTACAAATACACGTCAATAAAGGTGCAACTATTATTTATTTAGTGTTCTGTCTGACGACAGGTCCATATGAACAGGATCCTTCCATCCTTTTCTCGGACTGGGACCTGTTCATATACGTTCTTGGCAGATGATCCAGAAGTGGTTTGCCATTGCCTTCTTCTGTGTGTGAATGGAGTAATTGTTGGGATGCCACGGAGGAAAACTCCGTGTTGCCTAGACCACGGCCTTGCCCAACACAAGTTATAAATTCGGGCACCCGAGACCCCAGGATTACAAGGCCAGCGTTCTAACCGCTAGACCACTGTGGCGATTACAGGTGCAACAGTTCCTGAGAAACACACATTGAAGGTTCGTAGGAAGTGTGGAGGCAAGGCTCCACCTATTCTAAACCTCCTTCAGATACAATAGGGTCCCTGCTCGTGTCAGGATTACAGCGACGCCTGCTGAGCACACAGCCAATTAAAACGCAGAGACGCAAGACATTCTAAGACAAGCGAAAATACATCGCGCATTCTGAAGTTTCAATTTTTCATGGCGGTGAAAACGTCGGTCGTGGTCTCCTAGGTTGTGGGATTACAGGTGGATGCCAGCGTTTCGGACGAAGACACCGCCACCATCTTCGGGTTGACTTTTATTTTAAGAAAAAACGTTACTATACGTGCAAGTGCACTACATTACGTCTGAAAAACATACACACACGCGCGCGTACATGGGACTGGCACAGTTAACGATTCCTTTGTGTTACAGCAAATATTTCCTTGTACCTTCAACGCATGACGTCACTCCACAGGTTGAGAACACGGCGAAGCAAACTAACTTGAGTAGGAAATTTCCCAAGCACTTCGAGAAGATACATACATATTGTGGTTCAAATGATGGTCGTCGTATTTGAAGGAGTGGCGTGCTTAAGAAAGCTACCTGGGTTTACAATGACGTGAGAAGTTGGAAGGAAACACATTCCATTTTCAACATATCCACGAAGCACGGCCTTCCTTTCACCCTTTAAAGCCCAGTGGTAACTATATGTACCACCTGCTTTAACAATAAATAACTGCATTTTGTACGCATTGGTTTCGTACGATTCTCAGTCCAAACAGCGATTATTTCCTTAAACAGCGTTAACCAGTTGTCATTTGTAATGTTGAAGTGTTGTGTTTTCTTAGCGGTACGAACTGGATTCTTAAATAAGATTTCTTCCATGAACTTCGTTTATTTTTGTTCAAGTGCTATTCAGACACACTGAAATCCTTGAACATTTGTAAACTGATTTCTTAGTTATCATTAAGAACATGTGTGGACCAATTCAATACAGCCACTTCTCGCCAGCGATTCGCGGACATACGATTAAAAACTCCCAACCAAAATAAGAAAACCAAGAAGAGAGGGGCCCTTGTCCTTTTTTTCATTCGTCCCAATGCATAATCGGAGCAAAGATTTTTCAAATCCAATATGTGTACCCGTCAATCAAGAATGACACATTGGAAAAATGGTTTCCATGGAAACACACATCAAAGTGGCCACGAATTGCAGGCCTACGTATAATTATATTCTTTGACGTGGTTTCCTAATCCGCGCCATTCTTATAGCACTAGAACAACCATACAATAAATAAGAAATCACTTGGTGTGATGATCAGGCTCTCACGGTGACGAATATGAAAATGGCTCTTTTATGGGATGGTCCGGTGTAGAAGCCAGCAGAAATTGACTGGCGTTTAACAGGTACATACTGCCTCCATCATCAGGGCGATCATAGCGCATCACCAGCTGTTTCTGAGCCTGACTGCGATTCATACGATCATCGCCCTGATGATGGAGGCAGTAAGCACCTCTGAATCGTCGCTTATCCCAGAAGACGGTCATGTCAACATTCGTCGCCCTGAGAACCTGAAATCTGAATTGCAGACCTAACACGAAGTAACAAAGCACAAAGTGTAAAATCTTCAACACAAAGATTACAGTAGCTCAGCTCGTCAATAAGTTCCCTGTCTCTTACTGGACCCAAATATTCATTAGCGTGGTCGGAACAGCCCAGCACAGGACCCGAAACTCAGGCAGTTCCCCTCGTACTCTGTAGCTGTAACAACCATTTTAATATTATCCTGTTCGCTGCCCATACCTGAAAATCTGAAACACGTTAATTGCTCCCAACATCACAGTTTAACTGAAATGAGAACGGTCTCGTGGTATCACAGGTGTAAACTCGCCCCCTACGGCAAAAAAGTGCGTTTTCCAATATTCCGAATCGTAAGTGACAAATCTGTTTCATTAAACAAGGTTTGCACAGGCTTGTTTGAAGCGGGTTAAAACTGTGTGTGGCTTGGAGGTTGGTGTGTAAATTGCTTTGTGCAACAGTGGAACATAGGATCACACTAGTGCAAGAACGACCAAAGATCAATGTTTAAAACGCCCGTGATCCCGACGATTAGCCTGGAATCTCGTTAGTGCAACGACGTAAGTGAAGTGAAGTGCCGTGAAAAACGCCTCTGGAACACTCGAAAATGTAACATATTTCCGATTTTGTGCTCTCCTCCCCGCAGGTTCCACAATCAAAATTTTGTAAGCATTCCTCATTTCCCTCATGAGCGCAAGATGCCAGGAGGATGCCACCAATAAGGTTATCAGAATATGCACACGTCATTGGTGTACAGCCATTTCCTTATAATGTGCGTTACTATGGAGCGTAGTTAATTCAGGGTCTTCAAATACGTCTGCTGGTGCTTTGGTGCGAAAGAAAACACCTGAGCCTGAGTAGAAAGTAATTAAACTGTAAGCCATGTGGGTGTTACATAACACATAATACTGTATTTTCTAGTGGAACGTTCAAACACATGACGACACACGTTGTTACAAACCGGGAGAACCAAGCCGGTACTTGCCGAATCCTACACAACTCCGAGATTTACAACAACAAAAAACTTATCTTAAAAAGTGAAAACATCAACAGGCCACACGCACTATAAACACATCAACCCAATGACGAACAAACAAAGGACAAAGAAAGAGAAACGTGGGGGGAAAAGAGACAGATTGTACATATTCCGGGGGGGGGGGTAAAATTTTCGTCTGTGAAGGTTCCCAGGCAGTGCCCGCTCGTCCTCGTAAATGTATATTGAACAGGAGGCAAATAATTCAGAAGTAAATAGATGATACGTGGAGCATGGAGAAAAGTTGACAGCAAAACACTTTTCTTAATTATGATATTAATCATTGGAGGACGGTGTTTGGCGAAATTTTGATGTTAACTACTTGGATGGGGGTGCATGTGAGACATGCAGAGCAAAGTGAAATATTTGTACCATGTGAGCATTTTGCTCTACGGCCGATAACAAAAAAAAAAAACACGGAAAACCTTGTTAAAATTGGCCCGGAGCTTGTGTAAATAATATTTAAGAATTCAGTCCGTACCGCAGAGAAAACACAACACTTCACCCTTAAAAAGATCAACTGCATAAAGCTGTTTTTATCTGAGATTCATATGAAACACATAAATTCGCTTACTTGGGACTAAAACGCAGATTTAATTATTCTTAAAAACAAGTGGTACACAATGGTAACCACTATGCTTTAAAGGGCGACCGTCCACGTCCTTTACCATTCACCACCATCCTATTATTCCGTGATTTATAAAATATATAGTTAAGAAAACTTGCCATAAAATGAACAAAGAATAAAATAAAAAATTATGTCACTGAAGTACATGCAAATAAAATTAAATTAAACAACTCCCTGGTAGCAGCACCTGCTAGTCCAACATCGACAACACCAAAGCCCGCCAAAAATATAAATATAAACCGAAAGAATAAAATATCAGACTTCATTTTGTGGTAAGAACTTTTTGGAACATCCAGCCAGTATTACCACATAACTGCAGATTTTATAAGCGCGTGTGAAATGCACAAGAAGGCAGACTACGACATGACGAGAAACAAACAATCGCTTCCCCTACACCGGTACTACAAGCAAAGTGAATTTACTTACAACTCACCTTTTAGCAAAGCGTGTGTTCTAGAAACTGCTTAATCCAGGAATTTATTTCAAATTAATCGATTCAGACTAAACTATTACACTCATTAACACAATGTAACACACAAAAACTAATTATAAACGTAACACCAACATGTCCGTCACAAGCTGATAGTGCTGCCAACACTGCACAACTCATCACTCACGACCATCTCGTTACTGAATGCTTCCGACCGGCACTGGATCGACCTGACTTCTCGCCGCCGGTACACTAGCGATTCTGGCGGAGGTAGATGAAATTACTGTCCCACATAACTTCCCCTTCACCTCCTTGCATGGGTGCCACGGCGATGAGAACGGGACGTGACACAGACCGTAGATCGACAACATAAAAAGCCGTGCGTATAACCCTTAACCTAGAAAACAATCATTAAGATAATTTTAACAAGGTTGGCAACGCAGAAAAGGCGTGTACTCAACTGTTTCTTGGCGGTTTACAACACCAATATTATTCTACCTTAGTTTTCAGGAGTTATTGCATAAATTATACCAACTTCGAGGTAATAATATAGTGGAGTGACTGAGAAGAACTACGAATATCATCAATAAAGATAGTGTATCTATAAGACGGACTTCCGAACTCGTCCCAGATATAAAGGAGGTGTGGGAAAAGTCTAAGGGTAAGTTCATACAGGTTATGTATACAGGCTTCTTGCATGTGCCCGTTGAAAACCAAATGTTTTTATAATTCTTTTGCTGGTGATGGTTTTGTTATCTTTACCACTGGGCGGATCACGTAGCACGCATAAGGGAGACGAGTAATGCACAAAATTCTAGTTGGAAAGGCGAGGAAAAAAACCCACTCGTAATACTAAAGTGTATATGGGAAGGATGATATTAAAATGGATCTTATGAAAATAGGCTTGGAGGGAAAACGATCATCATCCTGTCTCAGTTGATGCTGTACATGTCATATAATTAAAACTATGTCGAAAAAAACAACTTTTACGTGTAATATTTTCTATTTTCCACGTATCTCATGTTTTCTTTCGTGCAAAAATATAATACACTTCGTACTATTGTAAAATTTTAATTTCAAAATTGCTCTTTTCCAAGTCAATGACGACACAAACGTGTGGGATAATTAGACATTCTGACGAGTACCTCGGAATACTGGTCCCAGGGCTACCACAGTAAAATTTCTTACTTGTTTCAACATTTTCGTCCCGGTAAGCATTCTCCAGG